TTTTTGAAAATTATTTCGTTTTTTAATATTAATAGATATAAAATTATTCCATTAGGAAGTCATTCCTATATAGAAGTTTTAAATGAACGTGAAAATGAAAAATTTGTACAGTTACCACTTTATACAAGTCAACGATATTTAGATTTGGATATTCCGTAAATTTATTTTTATATTTATTTCAAAAAAATTGATTTTATTTTCAAAATTTAGATTCGATAAAGCATTGGTTGCATTCCTTGATTGTGTTAATCAAGTAATATTTTTGTTATCTTTTTTTTTTTAATATTTATTTTGATTTCATATAGTTCAAATTAGCAATTGAATCGAAGAATAAAGCAATTAATTCGAAAAATAAAAGTTTTTGTTTACCATATAAAATGAATGGAAAGGGTATTATAAGTGATAGTAATGGTATTCCATTTAGCGTCAAGTATTAAAAATCATCAAACTTTCGAGTATAACTAATATGTTTGATATTGTTTTTTAATTAGATTTCAATTTAATTCACAAGAAAACTGGACAAAAGCATTAAAATATATGTTAACGAATTTAAAATGGGGTAATTAATATTTCTTTTATAGGGGGTGATCCAAAAACCATGAATTTTTCCACCGTCTAGAAATGTCATAATATGACAGTCCTGGTCACCCAGATCACGAATCCGACATCCGTTTGTCTAGATCTGATCCCTTTCTTGCCGTGTTTACCATAGGAGGTACCTGGGTCTCAGTAGGATAGTTCTATGGGATTTTAAACACAAATGCACAAAGCATTCAGAAAATTTTCTAGATACTTTGTTTGACATCCCATAAAACTACCCTATACTAGACTCAGATACTCCCCTATGGAAATTGGTAAAAAAAAAAGGATCATATCTAGACAAACGGATGTCAGATTCGTGTTCTAGGTGACAAGGACTTTCGTATTATGACATTTCTAGAGGGTGGAAAAATTGATCATTTTGGATCACCCCCTTTATGATAAAATGAATTTATTCTCTATTAAGGTTTGTCTTGGATAACCAGTCAATTACCTGATGATATGACAACATCGAATGCTATCCCATCGTCATCATCTCCAACAGTTGCATCGCCAAGATAAAACGAAAATTTGTCTCTTTCTCCGCTTTTGTTTGCATACGTGGTTTTCTTTTCTATATTTATTTTATTATTGTACATGATTTTTCTTTTTCGTCGAATATAATTCAATCAAGAATAAATTTTATTTTTATTTTTTGAGAAAAGAAAAAAACTACTGAAGAGTATTTCTAACAAAAGAGTTACTAATAAAAAATCTCTTCTATAATAATCATACGATTAATATTCATCGTACATTTACTCTTTCATCAATTCATTTTCGTAGACGTATTAAACATCCAACATATCAAATTTTCCATATCAAAAATATGATAGTTCAAATCCACTTCCTCATAGAGATCGAGTAACGATTTGGAGGTAAATATTTGAATAGTTTAGAAATATTTTCCAAATTTTTTATTCATAGTCGATTATAATTAATAACAAAGATGGTTAGTAAACATAAACCTGATGATCATAAACTCTGGCATCTTGAGGGCGTGACTATGGATGGGGTGAGTGTGAGATGAATACAGTACATATACCCACACACAAACCTAAATTCACCCACACCCTCAAGAGCTATCCTATGGGCATTGTTTCACTTTTAATATGAAATGCACTTTACATCCAGAAAAAAGGACATATCTTTCTGCATCAATTATTAAATTATTTACCCTCCGATATATATTTATATTTTTTAATAATTACAACATCGATTTTTATTTACTCAAATGAACAACATCAAAGATATAATTAAAGCTATTTTAGCCTACTAAAAAAGTAAACGTGTCATGTATGTAAAGACTTGTTGGCACATGAGAAGTAATTCTTTTCGAAATGTATTTGATACCAATGTATATATAAGAAAAGTAATCTAAAATAAAATAAATAGAGATAAAATTAATTAAGAAATGATTAAACATACTGCACTGTAAGTATACAAAAGTAATAAACCAACAGTAGTAAGAAATGATTCAATTGCAGTTTGATTGGAACTTTTTTTTTCTGAACTTGTGATAAACATATAAAGAGGATACGCACTTGCTATCGTACACAGAAGAATATAGGAGATCACTTGTATAAGAGATAACTTAATAAGCTGCATCTCACGTCGACGTTGATGGATACTCTGAGGTGTATTAGATGGCACTGCAGTTGTATTTCCAGTATTTTGTGTAACTATTTGAGTGCGACGACTACTGCGAACATTACGCAAAGTAAGCATACTGAATACTATCATAATAATCCATGTTAAACTAGCTGATATGATAATTTGTATTGCATAAAATAAGGAATAACTAGGATCCGCTAGATTTGTACAACCACGTGGTGGTGATAATTGATAGCCAATAAGTGTATGAATGCTATATAAAATCCAAAATAAAGTGCTACCAATAATAAGCCATCGAACATTACGTAATGAACTAAACTTTCGTATACTTGCACTTTTTGTTGTTATAATCCATCGATCAATTGAAATCAAACATAAACATTGTCGCATAATTCCAAGACTACTCAGATAGAAATAAATTCGTAGTTTACAAAGAGTATTCACTGTTGTGCTAAGATCATAACCAATTAAAAGTGCTATTGTTCTATTGATGGCTGCAGCATTAAAAAGAATTATTTGAGCTATAGACATACATATAAAATATTGTGAACATGCACTAGAACGTAAATTACGTCTTAAGAAGATAATTATATTTAATATATTTCCTAATGTCCCAAAAACGTAAATCGGTGCCAAATAATAAATGAGGAGTTTATTTGATAAATTTGATAATTGACTAGCGAGTGTTTGTGTAGTTGTTGCCATTGTAATATTTTTATCTGAAATGATAAAGAAAAGAATTGTATGAGAGAAAACTGATATCATTTTGTTTTATTAAAATGAGATGATCTTAGTATTTTATTATTAAAATGAGATGATCTTAGTATTTTATTATTAAAATGAGATGATATTAATATTTTATTATTAATTTTGTCAACCATAATATTACAAAAATCTTTTCATAAAATAAATAAAGCAGTGTAGCCAATCTTATTATAAATATTGAGTTGAATTTTTTTTACTGCACTCTGTTTACATTCATTATGTTATATTTTAATAAATTTTCTCAGAAGGAAAGAATGAGAACTAATTACGAGCTTTAGGCTTTACCGTCGGATATTGATAAGGTTTCAGGTAACAAAAGAACAATCTAGAATGTCCTTTTTGTACTCATTTTTACATATGTATGACAGAGTTGCCTTTTAAAGGTAACCAAATTATGTGTAAGGACAAAAAGAAAAAAGATATTTTTAAACGGATATTCTGTCATGTATTAGATTGATGCTCGTGGTGCATCTATCACATCCATATATCGTTAATGAGATACATCTATTCTTCTGCTACACAAAATGTGATATTTTCACTGTAAGTTTTTTTCCAGAGATAATCATTCTGCTATCTCTTTAAAATTGTAATGAGCGAGAGTATTTTTGCAGTAAGTTTCTATAAGAATATGAAAGAGATCTGTCCATAATGAAGGTACTCACGCAAACTATTCAATAACGATCAAAGCGAATAACTCTCCTTTTTCAGTTCTTGATAGTGCTCTAATCAGTCAAGAACTTTGGCGAAGAAAAAATATTTATTGACTTTATGCTAGAGAGTGGGGGATGAACACTTTAACTGACATTTTTTAAGAAAAAATTAGGAGAATTTAATTTAAAAAAATCGATTTGACTAGAGAAAAATATGTTTTAAATGCTGACAATCTTAAATTACAAACGGTTCAATAAATCACTATGCACTATTTTCGATATTTATGATATAATAATTCATATACATCATTTCAAATAATGCCGTTTACCGCCTTTTTCATTGTTAAGAAACTATGAAAGAAGAGTTCGATACTCGCTGTAGCAAAGCATCAACTTGAAACTTATACTCATGATGATCCTCTGAAAACATTATATAATGCAGCGATTATGGTGAACAAATAACAAGACCAGTGAAATTTTCCACTTCATAATTGTTTAGATGTGAAATATTGAGATAAATCTATTGTGAATGAACATGTATGTGATCCTGAAACAAATTCACTAGGGAATATCAAGATTATAACTTGAACTTATTTGGAAGTGATCTATCTACTTCGTTATAAGCTACAGCATATAGATTAATTGTAAATTTATATCCAAACTCTTTAGCTCGACTTGGTAATGTATATCGTCTTCAAACAAATATTAAAAATATTTTTTTTCTGTTCCTCATTCAACATATTACTAATAATAGTAATGAAGTTAAAAGATGTCCCGGAATAATATTATATAAACCTTAACGAATAAATTTAATCTATTGTCGAAATTCATTTAAACAATAATCTTGAAAATTATTTGTTGCTATTGTAATATCTTGTCTACCAGTAATAAGTTCATAAACTACGAAATAAATCATTGATATCATTACTGTTATACATTTTTGTATATTAATATATTCAGTATCTTCTAGAGTAATTGGTTCTCGAATTAATTGTTCATGAGTTTGATTGGACATTGTATGTGTACAAGTTTTATTATCTTGCGAGTGGCCTCTTATCAACCACATCCTTAGTTTGTAACGGCATGTCATTTGATATTGAAAAGAGAATGAGGAAAAATTTATTGATAAGAGAGCATGTGCGTGTTAGTATCCTTTCAACTCGATAAAAATGTGCTTGCTTCGTGCACATATATACGCGTTCTTTTACCACTATTGAGAATAAGAACAGAAATACCGACTCATTTTTGTTTTTTTTTCTACACAAGAAATGTCCGTGGAACAATTATTTATATATCCAATAAAATCTTGTGGCGGTATCAAAGTTGAAGAGGCTCTAGTGACAAAATATGGTCTAGCTCTTCCATTAAATCCTGATATAGTCGACAGGTAAGTTTTTTCTGCAGTGTTATTGTAAATTATTGACACATCAGGAAAGTATAGGCGATGGATGATAATAAAAGACGGACGATTTCAATCACAGCGTGTTCGTTCTCGTATGCCGTTGATTCAACCTTCATTTGTCAAAGATGGTTTATGTCTTAGAGCACCAAATATGCCTGAGCTATATGTGCCTGTAAATCCTTTGCCTGATGAAGTGGTTCATTGCTAGTAAGAATATTGGTGTCTGAACGAGGAGATAATTTATATATTGTTACAGTTGTTGGAAATATCCGATTCTTGGCTTGCGCTACGGTGATCATGTTTCACATTGGCTTCGAACTTTTTTTGAAACTGAAGACAATCTTGATTTAGTAGTATTTGATTATAAACAATTCGAAGGACGTCAATGTAAAAATTCTTCTGATCCCAATTCAGCTAGAGACGGTGATGTTTCTATCTATCATGATATGGGTCCAATCAATCTGTGTTCAACCAAATCGCTTTATGATCTCAATACGCGAATGGAAAAAAAAATAAAACTTAATAATTTTCGAGCGAATATTTTTGTGACAAATATTACCGAGCCTTATGCAGAGGTATGATCAGTGAGAAACTAAGAAAATTATTGATCTTTCTTTCATCAGGACTGTTGGCGTGAAATCGAAATTGGGAAAGTCAAGTTGACTTGGATTGCGGCGTGCATCAGGTAAATTTGTTCTTTTTATTATATTCTGTAATATCATTCTCAAATTGAAGGTGTTTGTTACCAACAGTTGATCAAGAGACAGGCATCAAAGATCCAAATCAAGAACCTCTGAAGACACTTAAAACGTAAGCCTCTTTTCTTATACACGACATATGATTATCATTCAATTTAGCTATCGCCTCAAACCGATTCCATACGATGTCTCACCTTTATTTGGCATCAATATGGCACCAACAGATGATAATAGCATTGGTGTCATTATTCGTGTGGGCGATTTAGTTCAAGTAAAAACAGAAGAATTAGATTTTTGGTCAAAAAACGCTTCCGTTTCATCGAACTAACGATGATTGTGCAGTATCGGGATGAACCTTTTCTTTTTAATTTAAAATAAAATAATTTGGGTTCTTGTTACTTGTTTCAAAAGCTATATTCATTTTACTACACTTTTGACATATGTCACAAGATCATCGACAAAATCAAGTGTTCAGGCAGACAGAAATGAATTATTGTAACGATATTCAATTTTTAAGAAATTTGATGTTCTTTAAAAAATGGCTAATTATCGAAAACTCAATATTATTACAAGAATTCATTTTTTCTATCTGAAAACTTTAGATCGCAATTCCTTTGCTTCATTTTCGAATCAAAACAGTGTATGTATCGATGAGTTTCTACGTATTATTAATAAAATATTGGTACAGTCATACATAATTTGACTAAAGAGGGCGTGGTGAGAGTATGCAATTCATACTACACCCACATCCTCTTTAAACAAGTCACATTCATCGAGTACGGACACACTTGACTCTAAACTGGTAAAATGAGTGCATGTAAATGTCAGTACTAGTTAAAGGATTTTGATATCAAATTCGACAGTACCCATTCGTCTACATTCTTTTTGAAGTTAACCAATTATTTTTAATACTCAATTAATGAAACGATACAAGCGCAAGTAAAAACATGCGCATTTAAATATTTCACAATTCATGTGTAAGATAAGGGATTGTGACACTATCTTTCTCACTATTGTGCAATTACACGTGTACTTTGTTATTAGATCGACGAAAAGAAAAACATACTGTGTGCAGTCACAATACAACATGGTTACTAAATTTGAACAACTTCCCAGTGAATTAATCATGTTTATCATTGAATTTATTGAAAATCCACTTTTACTCTTTCTCAATTTGAACTCAAATATTAATAGAATACTTTCTGATCATCGAATAAAACTAAACTGTAAAATCGAAAACAATCTTTATTACATTGCATCATTACCAACAAGTTTAACGCGGTTCGTGTCGATGAATTTTAGAGGTGGTGATCTACGAAGATTTCAAAATTTAAAATCACTTATTTTATGTATCAACGAAAATATAGTAGGTAAATTTCGATTCCCATCGTCACTTGAATATCTTAAAATAAGTTTCAATACTGATATTCCGTCATCACTATTTCATTCATTATCAACATTAAAACGGTTACAAACGTTGGTTATCAATAGTAAAAATCGAATAGATGTTACTTTTCCTGCCGATCTGATATTATTTAGTAGGAATATGAAAATTTTACAATTGGAAAATATTCCTATAGAAATATCATCGATCTATAATCTTGAAGAATTACCTAAATTAAAATATTTGAATATTCAGTTATCGGAAGCTGACGAATTATTTCATGATACATCGTTCGCATCTTTTTCTACATTGAAAACTCTAATTATTCATTTCCAATTATCATTCACAGACTTAGAACATGTACTTTCAGCTTTCGATGGAGATCATTTAGAAAATCTGGAACTCTATAGCCAAACTAATATTTCACAAACGGATTATTTTGATGGAAAACGATGGTCTAAATTATTTGAACGATTTCAAAAATTAACAAAATGTCAAATTGAACTGCGACAAAAAGGTAGAAGAGGATTATATGACAATTTGGTACGAGAATTTCAAAGAGAATTGAAAGAAATTAAAGAATTAAAAGAAAAATGGAATATGAAATGTTACCGAAGTTGCCCAGGGTATCACGGAACAGTTGTGTCTGTACAAATTTCAGCAAGTTTATAATTCTTTTTTTTCAATAAAGATGTATCAATATCTTAAAAAGTCGAATCAACCATGATAGAGAATAGAATTATCGCTCAACCTTATCCCTCATTATGCTTTAACTAAATCTTTAATATAATTTGCAGAGCATATCTTTCAACTTTGATCGATTCAAATCACTTTCAGTTAGGAAACTGAGGGTGTGGATTTATGTTTTTTGTATATATGAAAAAAGAAACGGAAAGAGCAATTTCGAATTATGATTAAGTTATAGTTTACGTTTGAAACATGGTGGTAGTGGTTCAGTTTTTCCTTGTGCAATTCCTTCAACACCAGAGCATGCATAATATTTATTACCCCATGGACGAGAACCAGGATGATTTATAATTACATTATCGAAAAGTACATTTTGTATAGGGTTGGAGGTATTACCGATTATTACACCAGGACTGATTTGAGGACTATTAATAGTTATATTTCGTAAAATAATATTATTCCATTTGATACCTGATGGAATCGGACAACTCGTTTCTGGTATAAATGGCCACAAAAGTGAACAAGCCCCTTTAAAAGCAGCTTGTTGTGGTCCGATCCATATTGACCATTGTGAAGCATTATGAATTTGAATATTTTCATACAGAATATCCGTAATTTCACCAGTATTTCCTTCATTTCCTGGCCGTGATTTCAAATAGATTCCTTTAAACGTGTTAAACATAGTACAATTACGAAATGTAATGTTACGAACACATGAATGTGCTGCCGATGGACCAATAGAACCGATTGTTAAACCTACGCCTGAGGCATTGATCCGTTCAAATAACATATTTTCACTACAAGATGAATGGAAACTGTTCGAATCCTGTTGTTTCACTGCGATACAGTCATCATCATTCCAAATGTTACAATCATGAATCCATACATTCGTACCGGATACATCAAATCCATCCGTATTGAAAGCAGTTAGTTCATCTAGATCATGCCAATGAGCATCTGGATGTATACGTGCGTCTATATCTGTGTGACGAATTTCCAAATTAGCAACATCCTTGCCGTAAAATGTCCATTTTGGCGAATTTTTTAATAATAAGTTTTCTATCAAAAGATTAGTAGAATTGTAGATGACTAGTAGACGAGGTCGATCATTAAGCAAATATTCGACCACACCCCACCAACGTCTACCAGAACCATCAATAATTCCTTTGATATCTTTGGATAGTGAACTCGTAAATGTAACATAATTCAATTGTTCAAAATAAAAACAGTCGAGAACTTGATGAGTTTTAGAATCACGAGGCCATTCCAAATGATTGTCAGAAAATTTAAGAATACCATCAATCTGAATGGTGACATGTGAGAGACTACGAGCATAGATGCCACCCATCAACCAAAACGTTCGATTTGCTGGTATGAGAAGTGTATCACCATTTTGCAAAGAAGATATTGTTCGATTCAGTATGAATGTATTTTTCCAACACGTAGATAATGAGTCATCTCCAGCAATACCTCCGATAGTCTCGAAATTTATTATCTGATCAATTAAAGGCATCGAATGATCATTAATTCCATTGACGATTGTATTGGGCACGATAATGAGCATGACTAGAGTGCTGAAAACCAGCACATAAGCGGCAGAGAACATAAACAACTCTCGATGGCTGTCAGAACAGAAAATATCAAGAAGTAGTTATATAACGCTCGAGTCTCACAACAACTAAACAAAGGATAGAAACACATGTGTCCTTATCTTTCTCGTGGTAGTTGTCTTCTGCATTGAAAAGAAGAAACTTTAAAACAAAAATAAATATTGTTTTTTTATTTTCAAGGTTGGCAGTTAAAGCAGAACGAGCACATCAAAAATAGATCTTTTCATCAATGAAATCATTCTAAATAATATCCATGATCAAATTCTTTTTTACAAACCATTATTAAACTTTTGCAAAAATATAGCACAGTAAAAAGAATACCAAAACAAAAAAATGAAATCTTTCTATGCGTATCGGTGATAACAAACCTCATTGTAAGAAGAATCTGAAAATGTTCCTCGAAATATCAGAATAGGGTAATGCGAAAATTGAGGTGAATATTTTTTTTTTGTATTTTGTCGCATTAATACTCGAAAAGAAGAATTATTTGTGTACGTTTCTTTTTCGTGTGAAACTCTTCGGCCAAACTATAATTCCTATACATTTAAGATAAGATACGTTCCATATTATAAAAAGATCTCTTCTCTTCATTGTTTCTATCGTTATTTTGTCATCATCCTGACCGCAAATCAAATGCATTCTGAAGAAATCTATTCAAATTCGTTCAGAAGGATATTCTTGAACACTAATTAGCAAAAGAGTGTGGATGTGTGCACATTGTTTCTGTAATACCTATACCCGCACCTCTCAAGATGTTTATATTGTAATTTGTATATTTTATTGTTTAATATGTAGTTTGTGGAAATCGTAGTACATTTCTAACATTTGATGATCTATCATCTGGTGAAGCAATACTAAATGGTTATAATGGTATTAATTTGAATAATGCATATGCTCTCATCAACGGTTTTGTAGTAAGTGGATATTCCACAGGTACTGTTAATGGAAATCTTACAATGTTTAACGGAGGTGAAACTCCGATGACGATGACAGGTGCCAACGGTGCTCTTTTCACTTTAAACTCTGCTGGAGTCATTGTAAATAATACTTTTATACATCAAGTATTGACGGTATCTTATATAACATTCAAAGGATATTCAGGATTAGATGCAGCTGTATTTTCAACATCAGGCGGAACAATAAATCCAATTTTTTTTTGGCGATCTTGGTCGATATGCAATGGATAGTCTTTGTTTAAATTTTCCCTGAACATTAACTTCATACGACTTTTTTTTTTATCAAATAAACTTTTTGTTGATTACTTTTCGTTTGTGAAAATTCTAACAATATCATATATGCAGAACTCAAACAGTGGATAACTAGGAATGAGGATAAGATGGTAAATAGACAAATCAAAATGATTACTATTCGATTGTTCACATTATAAATTTTCAAAGTTTATAATTCGTATTGTCTACACTACTTCTTAATGAAGAATAGTTATTTTATGTACTACTTATATTGAAATATAACTACAGTTGAAAGCAATTGTTTCTTTTATAAAACTAATAGATTGTATATAAGCTTTCGTATGTATCAAAATAAAGTGTTTAAAATGATGATCCACCAATAATTATAATAAACTATATTATACCTGGTATTCATCTGTACACGGTAACAAATATAATACCTAAGAAAATGAACGTGACGATGAGTATCGGTGTAGATATGAGAAGAATACATTATCTACAGCATATCTTCTGATCAAAGATATTTACTCATTCCTCAACAAAATGTAGTCACTACACGTAAGAAAGACGTGTGATCGTATGTAAAATATAAACAATATTCATCGGCAATATATTTTTCATTTTCTTCTAAAAGTCAAAGAATTAGATTTCATCAGATATATATATCTCAATACCATCGTTAACTTATTAAACATTCAGCGCTCTGACTGAAACTAATCTTAAAATATCCAACTTCATCTTCGTATTTATTTTTACGTTCCATCTGTTGTATCGACAGTGTTTTCACTTCGAAGCAACGCAAGTGCATCAAAATAATAAATATCTCAAGTATCTCTTATAGTTATATATTTTTATTGTCACATACAACTATTCCAGTTATAATCGAACCGAATATTTCACATTCGTCTGAAAGATAACTTCAGTCTTATGTACGATTTCCTTTATACAGGTGAATTCATCTTATTGAATGCAACTAAGCAAGTTTCTATTCTACTCTTACGTTTTATTTTTCCAAAAAAAAAAACGTTTACAACAAATGATTTGAATAAACAAAAAAGCTATTGTAAATCATTTTTAAAGCCAAAATTATTACTAACAACGACGATGACGACGGCATTCTTCATGACGACGTCTTCGACGTCTTTCTTCTTCACGCCAATTACGTTTGTGCATTGTTGAATCAAATCCAGCATCCATTTGATTGTGTTCCACACCTAGAAACACATTGGCTCCCATTGAATTCATCTCTTCCATGCCATTATTATCGTATACGACATTAGAGGTAACCATGGTAACAAGTGCGAATATTGCGACGATAACAATTGTCCAGCGCATTTTTGAATTAATAATCGTTAACTGCAAAAAAAA